AGAAAATTTCAAAATGACAAAAAAGCAACGAACACTTTCTTAATCTCATGAAAATCACATATAGAACGATTATAATGAAGAAAATTTCATACTTCTCTTCGATTCCTTCCAAAAATTGCCGTTTTTCTATCAATAAATGAAAAATAAAAAAATTTCAATTGGAATACATCGTTATCGATTGGCGCCTCTACTAATTGGTCACTAACTCATCTGACGTTAGTTGCTAAGAAAGTGTATTGTTTTTCCAAATTTCTCATTATTTATATCACTCCGATGTTAATATTAACTCTCAATACTAGAAATCTTATCGTTTTTCGAGTTAAGAGAAATATTATATGAAAACAAATGCTGAGATCAGTGGTCTACTTCGTCTCATGAAAATGCGACACATTTTTCATGAACGCGACATCTTTTGATTGACCAAGTTTTTGCGTCTACTTCCGGCATGTACACCGACTGTGTCGAACCGGCGTGTGCTTTGATAAAATTATCAAGTGAGAACTGTGTTTACCAAAATGTCGCTTGAGTATGACTTTACAAGCAGTGCGGAAATCGATGCTTTCCTCCCTGGCAATGTAATGATGTGAGTATAGTTATGAATATCATGTAATTAAAAACAAGGGTTTCTCATGAACAAATAAACAGAGTATTGAGAGTTGAAAAGGATTCTTTTAGTAAAAATGGGAGGAATAATAATATCGGGAAGTTGTTGGTGCGACCCGTCCGACGGGTCAGACCCACATGAATACATCCGCTACCAACCCACTCGCAATGGGAGCGAGCGCAGCGAGCGACCAACAGCCCAATCCACTAGTTTTTTATGAAGTGTTTTAGCTTTACTCCGTGACGTTACTATTCTATTTTCCTCTGACCTAAATGATTTGGACAATTACGATTTGTTTATTCATATTTCATCCCTAATTCATCAAATCCAGAGTTAACTCTGGATTAACTCTAGGGTCACGGAAATTTCCCAGAGTTTCTCTCTTTCTTCGCTGGGTTTTTTCCTTAAACCCAGAGTTGATCCAGAGTTAACTCTGGGTTTGATCTATCAAGGATAGAATGGTATTCAATTCTCTTTTGTTTGTTAGGTGGGCTTCATGAAAATTCGACGCGAGACGATTGTACTCATGAAAACCGCCTTACTTCCATTCTTTTGCCGATTGCCCATGCTTTTTTCTAGAAAATACTAGATTAATCCGCACGCTCTGCGCGCGTATGTCCTACTCCATAGGGCTTAATATACGTCAATTGCAGTGAATAGTATTGTATTTTTTTTATATATAATACATCCAACCGTTTTTTGAAGACAATCTTTTCGACGTATTGTGTTCTAAGATTTGTTGTAAATAATTATAGCATACGTTAAAAATATGACGATAATTTTATATTTTATTATATTCTATACTATATATACTATGTATAATATACAATATATAATAGAGTAATATATGTATTATAAAATATGATGTGTTATAATATAGTATAGTATAGAATGTAATATAATATAGTATTATCGTAATATCTTTGATGTATGCCATCATCTTTTTATATAAAAAGGAAAAGCCATTTTCGAGGCGACTGATGTATCAACACACAGCCCAAACTACAAGAGCTACAAGCATGAGATTTTGCCTACAGCTTCCCTTATTGACGTAAGCTCCCACTAAGGGAGGGTTTTTGAAAATTCACTCCCTAAGGGGGTGAAAAGGGGGCCAAAATTTTTTATGCGATGTCGACAACCGCTCAAGTTAGAGAGTTGAAAATGAGTGTGTAGATTCCCCTTTGAAAATAAAAAGATACGTGTTTTTTATTTTCTCGAAAATCCACCCCTGAGATGGTGAAACGCAGAAAGTTCTAGAAATTTCCACAACTTTCTGAAGGTTTCTCGAATTTTCTAGAAAATGAGGGAATATTCTTCAAAACTAAAAACATCTATTTAGAAAATGATACTGGACATTTCTAGAACTTTCGGGAGAACTCGAGAATGCTCTACGATAGTTATTAGACAAATTATTCTCATTTCTATTATTATGAGATATTTCCTTGAAATTTTCGTCGTTTCGTCGAAAGTTCTCAGGATTTCTGAAATGTTCTGGAAAATTCGAGCAATTTCTCAAGTTTTCTCTAAAATTCGAAAAACTTGTCAATTTTTTTGGGAAACGCGAGAAACTTCAACTTTTTCTTCATTGACTTTGACTTATCATAAATAATATTTCCTTCAATGTGATATCATTCATTCATTTAGGAATGAATAAAAAAAACAATCATCATCATCATCATATCAAACATTATATCAATGATCATATTGATCATCATATCAATTATTCTACATCAATTTTCAACTAGCTGATCGATGAGGCGCGCGAAGCGCCCGCCTCATGGCACTAGTCATTTATAAAAAATCTAATGACATAATATGACGAATAGATTGGCTTCAAAAAACGTTACACTGGCTTTTTATTAAAGGATTTTTCCTTGCAGATTTGGCAGTGGGAGAAGGTTTCTGAATGGCGGACCCAATGCTGCATATTTCGGAAGCCTGCAGAGGCTCATGCCTTATAATCTAGAGTATGATTTTGCGGTGATTCAGGAGAGGGGAATGGACTCCCTAGAGCAGGATGCGTCCAGGATGCAACAGTACTGGGGCGTTGCCACCACAGAGTTGTAGAAGGGGAATTCAGTTTATTGATAACTAGGGCTTTCTGAAAATTTCAGGAAGAAAACTTTCTTGTGGAGAATTTCCATAACTTCAGGAAAGGCTTCCTGATGTCTCGTCTCACAATCAAGCATTACCGAGATAACTGAACACCAATGAAATTTTTTTTCCCACGTGCGTAGACTCACCCGTTAATAAACTTTCGTTCAACTGTGTGGATTTTACTTACATATATTTTTATACTGTTATTCCGATTCGTGTGGAAGACTTGTAAATATTTTTTTAAATTGTTAATTACCATTGGATAGCTTTATACAATATTTAGTGTGTTGAACTAATTATCTGTGTGTAGTTTACTCATGTAAATAAATTCAATAGCTTTATATTTTTGAATAAATTGAAGTAAAACAAAAGTTTTCTGTCCTGGAAAGTCTTAACCATGCGGTGACGTCATTATTGACTATGTGAACCTCGATATACACTGAGAGAAAAACAAACATGTTGTCAAACAAGTCCTGTTTGGGTCAACAAAATCGCTAGTTAAAAATTGCCGAAAAAGAATTTGTTTGGTTCGAATTTGAAAGTCTCAAACATGAATAATTATTCTGCTTTCGACAGCAACGAAATATTTGGCTCAAGAGGCGGATAATTTACATCAGACACTGCCTTTTCAGGATGAAAATATCTCATATAGAGGAAAATTTATCAACAAATATTTTATCCCTAAGTTACAAGATTGCTATCATATCATTATTATTGTTTCATTTAAGGGTTCATTTGTTGTCTGTGATTATTAGACAGCCGAAACGAAAAACTACTATCCCTTGTTTCGCATAAAACAAAGATTTTTCGGCAGCAAAATACGTATGGAAGTATTGAATAACGACGGAGTAGTGCTAGAAATGACATTTCTTGCGTGTACAGAGAATGCCATTAGTAATACCGCCCACCCATATTTCTCGGGATTGCCTGAGATTTTTTTTTCTTTTTTTATTATGTAAATATTTAATAACAACAAGTAATTTCAGCAGAAATTTTCAATTTTCTCCCGTGGAAATATTATTGGAAAAAATCCGAATCATTTTTTATCAAATTCTCGAAATATTTCGACTCCAGAATTTAAGATTTTTCACATTATCAGTTGGTCCATAATTGAATGAATGGCGAAATATATGTTCGTTATACATTTCCACATCCATTGCGACCTTTTCGATAGCAGAAAAATATCTTCATCAGTTATTATTTTATCAGCCGCCGCGTTTGTCGGTAATTCCACCCAGAGTTTGTGGGTAATGCCGTCCAGGGTTTCTATAGGGCTGCTAGACTCTGCAGCTAGAGGGCGGTCGAGTGATAACTCGATTGTGTGGGATAGTCGGTGACCACTGGAATATCGGGTAAATTCAGGATAATTTATTATTATTCGCGTGAAATCTTTCTTAAAATGGAGCCAAAGAAAGGAAACGCAGGATGAAAATAGGGAAAATTCAAATCAAAACAAGGTGGGCGGTATTGGCCGCATGCCGAGCGGTATTACCCTCAAAGTTCGATTCCATCGCTCGCTGGCCGATGGAAATTGAATGACAATTAAATATGTTTAATTTTAATAAAAAATCTGTCCTCTTCACATCTTCAAGTAAACACCTCGAAGAATCCCTTCTTCTGGTTGGAAAAAAAGCACTCATTTTCCTTAGGTGGGCGGTAATAGTATTTTTCCGGGCTGCTATGGTGGGGTTTTTTTACTCGTGTGGCGTTGACGTCCGAGCCAAAGGCAAGGACTGCCAACCACACGAGTAAAAAAACTCATCGTAGCAGCTCGAGACAAGATTTTTTTGTAGTGATTTTCAAGTTTTAGAGTTTGCGAAGTATGCAATACCAATTCCCAGACGAAAAATCGTGAGAAGCGTCCGTAAATCCCTGCCTTACGATCGAAATGGCAAAAAAAATCTTTTATTCGTGTTATAATAATCCCTTTATTTTTCATGCTACACGTCTCGATGAATTCCCAATGGTTTTCGAGATATTTTAAGTGAGAGTGGCACATTTATTTGGAAAGAAAACGCATGAGCCTGCCGTCGCATTTACATTCTAATTTTAGTCTTATTTACTTTTCATTATCGACATACTGACGTTAATATTCAGTAAATTGCGAGTGTACTTGAGTAATGATACATAGGAGTCTTGAAAATGCATTATTTCCTCGTTTTCGCCTCCTCCACTTCTTGCACACAGCGATAGGCGTTATCTTATTTGCGCACCGGTATATTCAAATCATCAGTTACCTTGTTGCAGTATCATATGGGGAGAATAATGCAAAAGTAAACGAAGTGCATGAAGACAAAAACAAGTGGATAATTGCATTTTTTATTAATGAGTATAGTTATTGTTGCTAATAAATTGGCAATTTGCTCAAAGTACCAAAGGTACTGGTGAAAATTAATTTTTGAACTTCTCTCAAGTACTTTTATGGCTTAATTTTAGTACTTTCAATTGATTACTTCATTGAGAAAAGCAAATATTATCGACGGATAAAATGAGCTTTCTTGCGCACAAAAAAATCAGTAGATTGTGAATTTTCTCGTGAAAATTCCGTCTCACTCATATCGAAATATATTATTTCACTGTTTTCTCTTCATTTGCTTCATTTTCCGGATATTCGGTCGTACTTTTAAAGAAATAAACATTATTCCAGAGAAATTTCTGTTGGAGAAAAATTGATGGAAAGAGCTCGTGTGTCAAAAAAAAATTGTCCTCAAAAGTAGGATTAAAATGATTGTAGAGCTCAAATCGTCCAGATTTCATGCTCCCCAGATGAGATTTATACGACCTTTTTCCATTGAGCACGCCATATGAATTTGAAAAATAAATAAAATAAAATAAAAGGAAATTATAATATCTGTGGCTACTGTTGTGTTATTAAAACCACAATGCTTTCATTCGAGAATAAAAGATACGTAACAATTTTTGTTGCATTATAATCGTGTTGATAATAAGTAATTTATAAAAAAATATCACGAGACCTCTTCTGCAAAATTTATTAAACTACAAAAAAGGTCTCTTGTCACTTCTTCTTGTCGCCACACTTAATTAACAGCTTCGTCGTCTCTTTATTATTCAGTTTTAGCACTTGTTCATTAAACTCATTTCATTCTGTTGTTTAATAATTCAGCCGTGAAGGAATTTTTCACGGTATAGTCACCCCTCGGCCAACACAATGAACGATTCAATGTCAAACAAGGAAAAAATGAATCGATGAGAGTAATATGAACATCAGGAGTCAATAACAAGTTGAAAAAAAATTCAGAATAAATTGTAGGAAAAATATTCCAATTTTCATTTGGACATGTACAAAGTGATGACGACTTGATGATTGACGGGAACAGAAAAATTATGCTTGAATATTTTTAGAAAAATTTGATACAGTTATCTCACATCGAACATAACGAAAACAACTGCTGATACTCGTCATTTCTATTCATTGAAAATATTTAACGTTGAATGTATTTTTTTGTAATGAGAAATTATATTAAAAATCGGTTGAGATTGAATGATTCCCATATTTATTGATTTCCAATTAATCATTTCGTCTACATTATGATGAATTTTTTATAGAAATTGGTCAGAGGTTTGAACAATGTGAAAGGAAATTAGAATGATTTTAATTGCATCGAATTAAATCCGATTCATTAGGGTTTTGATGATTAGTATAAATCTTTTTTTTTACTCTGACCCTTGTGACCCTTAATTTCGAGTACCACATTTTCATCACGAGAATTCAATTTGGATTTTTATAATATAGAGAGATATTCTGACCCTTGTGACCCTTAATCTTACCCTCATGACCCTTATTCTGACCCGTGTGACGCTTATTTGGATCCTTAATTTAATAGTTGAGACCTTTATTTGGACTTAACTTGAGTCTTGTCACCCTTAATCTTACCCTCATGGCCCTCATTACCCTCGTGTCGCCTTGCAAAATTGTAAATGAAAATTTTTAATATTCACTCTACTGCAGACCGACCCTTAGACTAGTCTCGTCGTATCGTTTATTTCGACAAGTTGAATACCACCACCTCAACGTTTTCGTCATGTTCAACGTCGAGCCCCTCCAATTACACCAGTCACGGATTAGTACACTGCCGTGCGTCAATCGAGTGACACGCGAGCGGTTCTTTACCGCCTTCTAGTTCATTGACAGGCGCACAGGTTCTCGAGGCCGTTCGAATCGAGCGATAGGTAAACACTTCCGAAAAAAGTGAGTTTATTTCCTTTTCCGTCTGGTTTCCAGGGCAGTTTTTACCATAAATCGATAATTCCGGTGCTTTCGAATTCTCGGGAAAATTTTCCATCCTGTTCACTACAGATGAAACCATTTTGCCCCGATATTTCTCTGGATATTCGAAAAAATACGGAATGGACCGAGGGGTACTGCTCCTTGATTAGTGACACCATGACTTCGAAATAAAGTCGAATTCACGTGATTTCCGGGTTGATTTCAATAATTTCCGGAAGAAACGAAATCGATGACTTTGAGGTGTTTCGTGTAAAAAGTGAAAATATTGAAAAAAAAATTGGAAAATTCATGGGGGAAATGTCTGAGTATGCTGCATCATTGAAAATTGTTGCACATTTTTTTCAGATCTTAGTCTCAAGAAAAACAATAATGAAATTTGGATGTTTTTGTAACCCCTCCAGTTATACCCTCCAAGGTCACTCCACTCTCAATTAGGAAAATTTACATGGCACCCAAAAAAATAATGAACTACTAAGGAAAAAATAGTGGATAATAAATCAAATCTTTCTTGAGAACATGTATAAGTTTCAGTTTTTTTCACATTATTGGTTTATTGGAAGCCAGGTGAATAAATAAAAGACACTTTTGTTAGAGCAATTAGACTTGGTTTTTATTAGGACGTGTTCCTGCATCGAGAGCAGTCGCAGAACTGAATAAAGAATATCGAAGTCACAAAGACCATAGCCTTTTTATTATGGTTTCTTTCTCACCAGGCTTTATCATATGTTTATATTATTTAGTAAACATTCGACTGGAGTTACGTCGTAAGACCCCACAGGCGGGTCTCTCCAGGAAGAGTGATCTCATAGTATAATAAACCCAAGTTATATCGTTCAGTAATATGATCGAATTGTTTTTGCTCTTTTCAATACACATTTCATAAAAAAGTTATTTGAACAATTGATTCGGAAAATTATGAGTTTCACAGTATTGGTCACGTAAATATCATAAAAAATGGTATATTATGTCCCAAGGACACATAAACCACGAATTTTAACTTCACTTTGTTCGGTTGGAACGCAGTTGTCGGTACTTGGGGCATAAAATATTATTTTATATCCCTAGGGCCGTAAAACCTCGATTCTAACATCGATTCCCTCGGTTAAATCGCCGCTTGTGGACCCAGAGACATAAAATATTGTACGTCACACGGCCATAAAACTCTTTTCCTCGCCTTCGGCTCGGATTATAAAGCTACATTCGTAAGATAATACTTTCATCGCCTGGTGACATTATTGATGCCGCGAGACATTTCACCAGACATCACGAGACAATACTTTGGAGAGATTGCCGCGGTCTCAGTGAACACGCAAATTTTTGGTCTCGTCGCCGTCTAGAGATACGCAGTGTCGGCTTCTCTCGTGATGACTTCGAGTCAATTTATCTCAACTCGGTTTCCAGTTTTTCGCATTTTTTATATGTAGAAAACCGAGACGAGACAAACGGAGACTTTACATTAAAAAAGACGAAAAACTTAAGAACGAGACAAGACAAATTGACTCGGAATCATCGCGAAAGGAGTCGACACTGCGTATTTCGAGACTGAGACGAGAGCAAAGATTTTCGTATTCATGGAGACCGAGATCATCTCTCCAAAGTTTTGTCTCGTAAAGTGTCTCGCGGCATCGCTAGGTGACATAATGTACTATTATATCACGTGGTGTGATTGGCGATTCCATGACTAATTAAATCAACACAAAACAAATTCAACACATAGACACTTCATCACCATATATTTAAACATCTGCATTTTTAATACTATTGAGACAGAAATTTGAAGGTCTTATTGCCAGAGTAGCTATTGCATTTTCAGAATTTGAATCTTTGAAGGGATTAGAAAATAAACTACGCGAAATGTTTGGTCCACTCTGCACAGTCAATAAATACAAAGTTAAGCGGGACAGGATATTTAAAAGTCACAATGAGAATATCATAGATTATATTAATCGCCTCAAAAATATTTATTACGAAATAAGACGCCTAGATAATAATGATACAATCACACTACATTCTTTAGAGGGAGAGAAACGTAAAAGGGAAGCTATCCAAACATTTTTTAATAAATAATAACATCATGTCAAAATATCAAGCAATTATCATGAAAACATATAAATAAGGAAAGATGCATGAACATGGGGAGAATCGAATGAGGACAAATTGATGAGAAAAGGGCGGGAAATATCGAAGAAGATAATGTTTCCCAAGTGAACGTGTAGTGAGTGAGCATTGGGTTGACTTTATTTGTGTGGAAATACATGTGGTGAAATCACTGAATGTTCACTTGCCGATCTGTTGAATTGTCTACGTATTGAGTTGCCTATGTGTTGAAATGATGTGTTGTGTTGAATTGACTATGTGGTGATTAGTCATGAGACCCGATTGGCGGCATTTTAAGAACGGAGCATTTTTTTTGGCGCGGTTTTTTTGACGCCACACACCCAAATAATGTTTTTTACGGAACAAATCGTAGAATTTTCGTGGCGATTCGTACAATTTTAGTTCCAACTGACACTTTTTATTGAATTTTATTTCGCTCGCGGATTGCGTTTCGAACCGTAATTTTTACGTTTTTTTTGTCTAGTGACTTTCATTTCATGTTTCTCTCCGTGTGGGAGCGAGCGAAACGAGCGACCAACAACCCAGTCGAATTTTTTAAATTACTTCGGCATGATCCCAAGACTTCAGCGAAATTACTGAAATCATCCGATTTCAGGGATTCCGATGATTTCAATAATTTTACATGATTTCGAATTGATTTCATCACAGAGTAGCATCATGACTTCGGGAGTTAGTAGCCTCTTGGAATAGACTTTTTTGTGGAATTTACAATAAAAAATTTCTCTCTCGATTTTCGCGAAAAGTAACTGTGTTAGAGACATTGTCAAAAAACTGAAATCATCGGAAATTTTCCTGGTTTTCAAATGACTCTGGATTTAGACCCCTGTCTCAAATAGTTTTCGAGATCTTCAGGAAAGAGTGGTAAAAGGATCACTCTCCCATTTCATTGCAGATCTGCTAGTTTTTGTTCTCTAGTTTATTGAGAATTTATTTGTTTGTGATACATCAAGACCAGTGAGGTTGAGGTGCGAGAAGTACGATGCCTATCCTGTGAGAATTTAAACTCGTTGAGTTCTATTGGGAGTGAAATAATGTCATATTGCTGACTCCATGACTTTGCACATCACTAAGATTTGGATTACGAAGAGTGTTTTTTTTGGACAGTAAAAAGTTGACACGCTCCGGTGCCAGTGGAATATCTGCAGTGGCGGTGAGCGCCCAGTGGCCGCACTCTCGTCAAGGTGAGTCGAAGGAACAATTGATGAATTCATAGATTCGATTTTCTGATTTCTTTATTTTCTCCCAGATACTTGATGAAATCAAGGGTTGAATTGCCGATTTTGATTTACTCAGAACTGTATCTGATTTACAGGCAAATAATAAATTAGCAATGTGCTTCCAAATGGTTATTTTGCATATCATTTCCTTCTATCATGTATAATTGAAGATTTCTTTTCAACTAATTTCGTCAGATTTTCAACGTAGTTGAGTGTTATCATCATCATTTAAAAGATTTACGAAATCAGTCTTCCCCTGCATGATATTGGGTGATAGGCCGCCATTTGTCACTGTAAATCAGATACATTTTTCAATTTCTTGTTACTCAACTTATTCTGAATATAAATTAAAAATGCTCTTTGAAAAAATTAAGAATTTCTTCTACTTTTTTTTTTATTATTCATTCATAATTTTTCAAAACTTCTGCATGATGCAGGACTCAATTGACAATTTCAGATGACGAAAGATGAAAAAAAACATCGAGATAACGATCGAAAGATAGTCCACCCGGGCCTTGAATGATTACAAAGCTTTTAAAACTTGTAAAGATTCCGAAGCAAAAAAAATAATTCTGCCAGCCAAATTTGTTTCAAACAAAAGCCCGAAATTTCCAATCACAGCTTCATTATAAATTCTTGTCTGCAACAAATTTGATTGGCAGAATTATATTTTTTTCTGAGTGCTCTCTCCGAGGCGCATCCTTCTTTCATTTATCATTATTTAATTATTCCGGTGACGAGTACTGATAAAAAAAAGTCAACACACACGTTTTCCTAGACAATTTCCTAATCAGAAAAAAATACGGGTAATGTTTTCCTCAAAACCGACGAGATTGCGCGTTATCACGGAAAATTCAATCATCCTTGAACTTCGCTGTTGAGTCGAAATCCAATCTTTTATTATTTATGTTTGTTCAGTGGACAAATTCTTTTCAACAAACTACATAACATGAATTATCGATCGTATCAGCGTGAGTGTGAGTACAGTGGCACTTTGAATTCGCAATAGCCTGGCTGCATGCCCACTCCGGTCAAGGTCAGCGATTTCATACGCGGAAGTAAATAACTGCACTCTCTGGTACTGTTTATCCTTGGCTTTACGGGCTCCGTTATCGTGGGACAATTTGCCGCATTTTTCACTTTCTTGTTGATATTCAAGAACTCGAGGAAATTTACCAAGGGAGCACTGAAAAAATGCGACTGTATAGGCAACGGCTTTGGGCGATGTGTGGAGATCATGCATTTTGTTTTCAAATAAATGTGCCACTGTCACGTGAAATATTTTAGTAAACATTGAGTAATCTTCAATACAGGCTTTGTGAATAATTGGTGGATTTTTATGATAAAGAAAATGGTTTTTATCAGTCCGCGCGCGTCCGTGAATTCCTGCTCACAGCCGTTACAACAAAATAGTACATTCCGTTGCAAGTGTGAACAAGCAGCAGTTCGAGCCTATCCGACAGAAGGCATGTGGCCGTTACTTTTTGCGTCATTAGTCTCTTTCGTTTTTTTATTTCTACCAATTCCATCGATAGTAAACTTCCGAATGGATCCGTAGTAATTCCCTATCCTTGTGACAGGCATGCACAACCGTAACCACATGCTACCGGGTGTCTACAGGAAAATATTCAACATGTAATGAAAAAGATTATGTACAAAAGGTTAAATATCTCTGAAACTGCTCGGCCGGTTGCGCCTATCCAACATACCAGCCTTCAGTATTGTAAGAGTTGCTATCCCCATTTTTTTTCAAGTTATCGCGCGTACGAGAATGAAACAATTTTTAAAACGAAAAAACGGGAATATCTCAGAAACTTTGTACGAACGGATATATTTATTTTGATTGATCCAGATTGTGGCTGCCGAGACGAGTATTTTGAAAAAAAATTGAAATCCGTCAAGTAGTTCATGAGATATTTGAAGAAATATATTTACACAAACGGTTGCATATCTCAGGAACCGCTCGACTGATTGCGCCCATCCAAAATACTAACCTTTAGTATTATATCCATACCAATTTTCAACTTGCTATCTCCTTTTTTTCTCAAGTTATCGTGCGTAAGATTTTTCATGAAAAACGGAAAAACGGCAATACCTCCAAACTGTGTATTAAAGAGTCTATATATTCTGATTGACCTACATAGAGGCCATCGAGACGAGTATTTTGAAAAAAAAATTGACATCGGTGCAGTAGTTTTTGAGATATTGAAGAAAAACGAAATTCAAACAAGTTGTTATATCTCAGGGACTACTGGACCGATCGGGCTGAAACAGCGCGCCAAAGTTGAGCTCAATAATAGCTGCAATGAGCCAAAATTTCAGATTTTTATCTACAAATTTCACCGTATTTATGTTGAATTTTCTAAAAATTAATCACCAAATACCCAAGTTATCGGACACATTCAATACACACATGACCCTAAAAACATGATGTCGTCACGTTTCATAACATTCTACACTGTCAGAAAATTCCTCTTGAAATTTCACGTAAAAAATTTTGAAATTTTCAACAACGAATAATTTACATGGAATACCATTGATAAATCAGTCAATTTTCTTGAATATTCAATGAAATTTGATTTCTCAGGTTCATACAATAAAAATGACTGAAAATCGTGAAAATTCCGGCAACTTTTCTTCTGAATTTTTAACCTCTTGAAAATTCAATTGAATGTAATGCATAATTTTCGTGATAGGTGTGAAAATCCAAATTGTCATTGAAAATTCAATGATCGTTCATAATGAAAAACTTAACTTTATTGAATTTCCAAGATGAATCAGGAATTCCATGAGCTATTTAGTCTGAAATTGAATTCAAGTTCCGAATAATGAAAATTCAAATGCATCTGTTACTTAAATTTCAAAAAATTTCTAACAGTATAAACCATTTGCAATCAAAATTGGAAAATCAAAAAATTGGTCAAAAACAAGGCTTCCATTCGGAAGCAAAAAATACTTTTCCCAAAGCCTTGAAAATTTTGTAAGGAAATATCCCATAACATTTTTCATCAAAATCACCCATCACCGAGATAATTACCCAATCGCCAATCAATAATTGGTTCAAATCAATTGATCCCTCATTAATTCTTCAATGCTAAAGTACCGTTTTGGTGTTCCATAAAATTCCCCATATAAATGTCTCATGATAAATTCCCCTAAGATACTTGGAAAATCGTCTTCAATCCGTCTCCCTTTATCACTCCCCTCCTAAATTGGATTATTTTCCAGACTCTGAACCGAGAAATTTCAAAGAAAATGACTGAACAAATAGACTCGATTGATGTAACAGCCTGTATCTCTGTAACCTTCCCATTTTTCCAATACTCACGATGATAGACGTGAGTTTTCGTGCAATCGTACGACTCGAGTTTTATCGCTCCTAGACGCTTGCACGAGGTTGAGAAAAATGGAACGTGACCTCATGTAATGGATGAAAAATAGGGATCCAATGGAGGCCATAGCAAGTCTACTCGCTACAGTCATCTCTCCTCCATAAATAATAGTAGTAGGCAAACAAAAAGGGAAAGATGGAGGAAAAACTATTTTTCTTCTTCAACTAAATTTTTTGCAAAGAAAAAAATCATTTCGGTTTCAATTGGAAAAATTATTCTCGAGAGGGATTGCTTCGAATGTTGTGCTTTAAATGACTGACCATTCGTTAGATTTTGTAGTGTTGTGGATATGAATATTTGTGTTATTTATTTCGTCCTGCTTATGAATTTGTGTTAAATCACTTGTTATTGAGATTCAATGTTGTTTACTCTGTAGACGATGTTTGCAAATTTAATATTGTGCTTCGTGTGTTTTTTTTCATGTTGTTATTTTCGTTCGTGGGTATTCAGTGAAGCGTTATTAATGCTCTATTCTTGTGTCTTTTGCATTATTTTCCTGGATTTTTAAAAAGTTTTTTTCAAATTTTTCGAGATTTAAATTGTCCAAGTTTTTTGCTTCTGAATGGAAGCATGGTGTTCGTCGGATTTTGATGTTCTCTAATTTTGCCTGGAAATGATGTAGAATGGTATGAAACGTGAAGAAATGATGTTTTTAGAAAATGTCTGTATGTCCGGGTCTGATACGTCAGTTTTTGGGTTACCACTTTTTAGAAAATATAACATTAATATGGGAAAATTCATTGATATGGACGTGAAATTTTGACCCATAACAGGTACTATTAAGCTCAAGTTTGATGCATAATTTCAGCCCGATCGGTCCAGTAGTTCCTGAGATATTCAACTTTTTATATAAAACTATATTGGTCAATATCTCAAAAACTACTAGACAGATGTGATTTTTTTTCAAAATACTCGTCTCGATGTCTTCTATCTAGATTAATCAAAATATATATACCCGTTCATACAAAGTTTTCGAGATATTTCCGATTCTTCATTTTTTTCCCAAAATTCCACGTACGCGTGATAACTCGACAATAAATTGAGATAGAAGGTTGAAATTTGGTATCATTGTAGCTTCCCTAATACCAAAGGTTGGTATTTTGGCAGAGTAATATCGGTCCAGTAGTGCCAGAGATATTCAACTTTTTGTATAACACTATATTAGTCAATATCTCAAAAACTACTTGATCGCTTTCATTTTTTTGTCAAAATACTCAATTTACAATAAATTGAAAAAGGGAATTGCTATGGATCCATTCGGAAGATTACTACCAATGGAATTGGTAGAAATAAAACTTAAAATACAAATAACATAAAGTAACAGTCACATGCCTTCTGCAATATAGGAGCGGTCAACTGCTTGTTGTTAGATCATGTGTATCCGTATATTTTTTTCAAATTTGGGTTTCGACGACCATTCAGAAAGGAATCGTCGAAATCTTTTCGATTATGGATTAAAATATTCGTTTGGATGTTATCTCGATCAAGTTCGAAGATGGTAGTGATCACATTATTTGCTTTGAAATTATAGCCTTAAAACGCATTTAATTGAGGTTTAATCATGGTTTAGTC